GTCAATTTGATAGGTGTGAGGTGGTACCTCAGACTTGTTTAAATTTGCATTTCTCTATGGGGATTTAGAGTATTTTTTTTCATATGCCTACAGATAGCTTTGATTTCTTCTGAAAACTGTTTGTTCATGTCCTTTGACCATTTATCAATTGGGGAATTACTCCTATTTTTATAAATTTGATTTCAGTTCTCTATATATTTGAGAAATGGGGCCTTTATCAGGGAAACTTTTTGTAAAAAAAAAAAATTGCCAGTTTCCCATCACCAACTTTCTAAGGGGTATTTTCTAGGAACCTGGAAAGGACTTTAGAGGAAAATATTAATTTCTTATATCCTTAGAGACACTAAGAAAAGAGGTTTTTTAATATACTTCCACAAAATCTAGAATGAAACTCAAATAGAAATAGCTCTCAAGAGCCACATCTTGACATAGAAAACCACACATTAATATTATCTTTATTGTTTTGTACTTTTATTTATTTTCTTAAACATTCACCAATTAACATTTTAATCTGGTTCAGACCGTAATCAGTAGTTTTGCAGGCCACTTGCCACCTGCAGCAAGTTTGACATCTGTGGTCTAGACCATTGGGTTGAAATTAAAAAGATGAAATTTGATGGATAACTGAACTTGAGATTTCATTGGCATACAGAATTTCTGAGTGAGGAAACTTCCATTACCAATGCGACATTTAGATGTTAAATGACTTGCCCAGGGTCATATAGCCAATATGTATCAGAGATAGAACTGGAACCTAAGTCTTTCTGGTTTCAAGACCAGTTCTCTATCTACTAAAATTGCCTTTGAAATTTAATAAGGAAAGTCTTAGATTTGAGTACACACACAAAAAAAAAAACAAAGCCCAAAACTTACTAAGCAGAAGATGAAGGGAGCATGTTTAAACAGGAAAAAAAAATGTGGTGTTTTATCTCAAAGATAAAATATTTTAAAATGTAGTCTGCAGATTCATTATGAGTTAATAAAATGATGTAGTAATCCAAAAAAAATAAGATTTGAGGTTGCATTAAGAGAAGTGTAGCTTACAGGAATAAGGATTTATTAGTTGACTAGCTAGGTAGTACAGTAGATAGAGCACTGGCCCTGGAATTAGGAAAACCTGAGTTCAAATATGGGCCCCAGACACTAGCCCTGTGATCCATTTTCCTCAGTTCTGAAATAGGACTCCCCTAGCCCACAGGGTTGTTGTGAGGATCAGATCAGATTAATATTCACACAGTGCTTGGTGTGTAGCAGGCAGTTAATAAATGTTTGTTTTCTTCTTTCCTTTCTACTTTGGTATAGTGTGAACTCACTGGAATATGGTGTTCAGTTCTGGAAGCTGGAAAATATTCAGAGAAAGACAACCAGAATAATTAAGGACCTTGACTCTTGCTAGATTTAAAATCAGAGGACTTGGGTTCAATTTCCAGGTCTTCCATTTACAGCTAGTATGATGTTGGGCAACCTTTGTAGGCTTCAGTTTTCTCATCTGTAAAAGGGATTGGACTAGATGATCCCTCAGGTTTCTTCCAGATCTAAATCTGTTTTCTGTATAAGGATTGGTTGAGTGAACTGAGATTGCTTAGCCTGAAGAAGAAAATACTCAGGAAAGGCCAGTATTTTTGAAGGCTGTATGTCCCTTGTTCTGTAAGAGAAATTAATTTGGTTCGAGATTGCAGAACTAGTAGTAGTTTTCTTAGACATTACTGAGAAGGCAAACTTAGACTTGAGCTCATGAAAAATTTCCTAACAATTAGAGCTATCCTAAAGTGGAATGAGCTGCCCATGGAGGATTGTGGTTTACCTCTCACTGGAGAGATTTAAACAAAGATTGATTAATTATTTGTTGAGGATGGGGATTTTTTTGGGAGGGGCTTAGGTTGGAATAGATGTCTACCAGGGTTTCCTTCTATCTTAAGTTCTACGATGATATGTTCCTGATGCATATTTATTTGCATACTTCCTAACTGTGTCTGTGTTGAGAAACCTCATGTGATTTAAATTGATGTTATAGCTGCTGAAGTTACATTGCTTTGGCTGTCAGTGTACATACTGTAACCCTGAACCTGGGGGGAAAAGTAATTATGAGGATTGTCTTTAGAGATAATTTACCAGCCCAATGATGGAACTAGTTTCATTACTTTTTAGCTACTGTACAGTACATTTTCCTCCTACTGAGGCTTAGAGTCTCAGAATTGCAAAATTTTATTGTTAGAAGAAACCTTAGCATGCACCTAGTGTAACTCATCACTAGAAAAGAATCCCAACTACAATATACTCAATAAGTATTCTTTGAGTCCCTCTTTGAAAAATCTCCTATGACAGGGAACTCACCGTTTCCTGTGACAGCATCTCATTCTTCTTTTTAGACAGCTGTAATTAGTAGGAAGATTTTCTTGACGTCAGGCCTAAATTAGCCTCTTTGCAGTTTCTATATCTTGCCTCTATTAGCATCTTCTGGACCCAAACAGACCAAGTCCAATTCCTCTTTCATGTGACAGCCCTGCCTGTCAAGGACTTGATAGCAGCTATCATATGAATCTTCTCCCAGCTATACTTTCCCAGTTTTTTTTTTTTTTAATTTTTTTCCCCCAGTTTCTTTAACTGATACTTATAAACATAGACTCAAGGTTCTTTACCCTCTTGATTGCCCTACTTTTTAGCTTCTTAATGTTCTTCCTAAACTGTGGTCCCAGAACTGGACACAGTCCTCTAGATGTCTCTCTACTTTATGCACCTTCCTTGGATTTCTCTTGCCTTCCTTCCTGACACCTGAGCCCACAGACCTACTGGCACTCAACTTTGAAAGTTTAATCACTAGCTGTGGATTTAATCATTTGTCAGCTGATGTGTTAGAGATGTATCTTTTCATGAAGTACCTTTAAATATTGAATATCAGATCTTTTTGTTGTTGAAATAATATAAGGAAGAGAACTGAATGTTAGCTGAAATCTGTTTTGTCATGTCACCTAAAAGAAGGGAGTAAGTCACACATAGGCTTATAGGATTTGGACCTAGGAGGAACTTTGGAGACCATCAAGTCTCCCCTCTCCTTACCTTCCAGGGAAGTTGCCTTTCCTATCATCTCCCATGTAGCAGCAGGGAGTAGAGCTAGCATTGAAACTCCGGTCCTTGGAATCTAATTTAAGTGTTCTTTCTACAACATTAGGTAAAATGTAAGGTTTTTGCTATTTTATTCTTCATTTTCACATCATGAACCTCTTTGTCTTATATAGGCATAGTACCCTTTTATGTTTTTGTATTGGTTGAATTATGTAGCATCACTTGGAATTTAAATTCCTAGTCCTTCTCTGATATTTTTTCTAGTATTCATACTTACTAAATACAAATTCTCAGGATGTCATTATAGTGTTTGTCACTATTATACACAAGTCTCAATTCCTAGAAATATGGAAATATAATAAGACAGGGATTTATACATTTAGATTTAGAATGAGTGGTGGTAGTGGTTTTTTGTTCTTTTTTTTTAAAGGCAAGTATAAATGAAAGGAAACTACTAAGTTGATATATGGGGAAAGGGGTTCAGATCTTTGTTTTTATCAGTGTCTGCAGCTCCAAATCCAGAGGGAAACTCATCCCAGTGCTGGTAGATACTTGTTCTGAAACTTGTTTTTGAAAAATTATATGGGAGCACTATGAAAAGGCAAGATTTACCTAGTGAGCCACCATGTCAGGGCAGCTATTGAATCCAGACCTTCCTAACTCTGGAGGCTTGCCCTCTCATCACTGTCTCCAAATTATAATATCACTTCTGCTTTAATCGTGACAATGCCCATCAACCACTTAAAATTTTCATATTTGGTTTGGGAAATTGGTATTTGGAAAAACAAATATCCCTTTTAAATCTTCTAGCCTTCTACTTCATTGGCATGTATCTTTGACATAGGAAAGGTGTGTAAAAAGAGAGTCAGTTTGGTCTTTTTCTTATTTGCCCTTGTCATATTTTTTGTTAGATTAGTAGTGCTACATTTATTAATTTAAAACTGAACAAAATTTTAGCACTAGTGAATGAGCTCCAGTCATATAATAATTGCTAGAAAAAAATATTTTACTAACCTCTTTGGATATAAATTTACACTAATTAAGAGGACTATATTTTTTAAAATATCTGCATGCCTAGAAAATGTTTTCATCTTCTTTGTACCTAATATAGAGTGCAGCCTTTGTAGCTTTGTAAAGACTTTCTTTCTACCAAGTTTTTGATAAGTTGTATTTCATAAATAACACCACAAGGTGGTACTATTGCATCACAAAATGGCCCATCTGATTTCTTGGCCTCTGTAATAAGGTAGAATTTGAATGCTAGAGACAAGATGAGGAATTGCCCTTATTTAATATATCGTTGTTGTTCATCTCAGGTTAATGTAATTTCCAAGTTTGTTCATTGAGCAGAAGCAAGTTTGGAATACACTGATATTGATATGCTGAATATTTAAAAAAAAAAAAAAAGTATGACCCCAAATTCCTTTGAAAACAGCTTTGTTTCATGTAGTTCTGTGCTTGGCCCAGGTAGTGAGGTTATAATTTAGAAAAGGAGATTTAATTCACAAATAAAAAAAATACATAAAATGTTTAATGTGGGCCAGATTAAAAAGACTTTATTAACTCCATATTTTTGTTTAAATAATGTGCCAGAATTTTTTTTTCTAATGAATTAGCACATAGGGTTTAATAAATGATATCACGAGTCTATTTTGATTGCCAAGAAAGACTTTAATAAAGGAAGCTTGACTAGGTTTGATTCTTTAGTTCATGAAAAATAAGTGCTTTGTTTCCATCTGTCTTTTATTGGATTATTAAAAATAAGTTTTATTAGCATATAGGCTTTTTTATTTTTTTGCATGTGTGATCATAGGATACAAATAAAGCAAATTTCAACAATTTGTCTGTTACATGTCTATTGTAAAAACTGTGTGGAGTTTGTTTTGTGGTTTGGGTTTAATTGCATTTTCATTTCTGATTGTTTTTTATTTTTCCAGGCTAAAGGGAACTCAGAGCAGGGCTCAAGCTGGAATATATTGCGTGATGACTTTATGATGGGAGCAACAATGAAAGACTGGGATAAGGAGAGTGATGGAGCAGATAACACAGAATGAAGCTGCAGAAGTGACTGACAAATGACACCATAGAGAAATTGGAATTCTTGATAGATTTATTTTTCTGGATAAAAGCCATCTAAATGAGTTTTGCAATATAAAGATGGTAATGCAGATTCTGTTTAAAGAAAAACAACAGACTACCTTTATTTTCACAAACTTCAAAATTGTCCTTTCACTTAATTTTTTCTTAGTCTTCATCACAATCCAAAACTATTGTCCAAAACAGTTCTAATTTTTAGCATTTCCCCAAAACATTTTATATATCAAAATAAAACTCTGCTTCTTGGTATATTTTGCCAAGTTCATTACAAGTTTAAATATTAGTTGTGAGTCTTGGTCTGTTCTTGCATTTCCAAATTAATAATATACCTAGAAATGTTATTATCCACAGGTAATGAAGATGACCTATATTTAATTTTTAACTAATATTTACTGCATACATTTTATGCTTCCACAAGTTAGTATGTGTGTGCTTATTCTGAGTAAACGTCTTTTGTATTTAGTATCATTTTTCTTTTAGAGGGAGTCAAGAAAAATATAGGTAATAAAACAAAGTTAGAACTGTAGTTTTGGCTTTGAGTGATTCAATTTGAGAGCCATGGAAATTTAATTAAAAAAAAAATTACAGACCTGCAAGTCAGGGATTCTTTTTCATATTATTCTCTAGGTTTATTTTAAACATGAAATCATTTTGGAGATAGGACTGCCGTTGTTTCTGTTCCCCCCCGCCCCAAATCACATGATGTCTTGAAGAGTAGGTGATTTTTTTTTGTTTGTTTGTGGGGGTTTTTTTGGAGGGGGGCAGTATGCTGTTCTTTTTTTCTTACTCTGGTTTGGGTAAAGGAAGGAAAGATTTGACTTATAAGGTATGTTGTAAAACTAGAAATATTGATGTAATTCACTGTATATAGTAACTGCAAAGATTAGTAATTTGGATGATATTGACATCAAATATTTATCAAAGATGGAAGATAAGTTAGGATTGAATCTATGTGGTTTAAAAATATTTATGAAATTGTCTTATAGGCCAGTTTTTGTATAGGCCAAACACAGGGCTATACTATGATGATATTGATGCTAAATAATTAAAATTAAAGCTCACACCTTTCATTTCTCTTAACAAACAGTAAAGTTCAAGAGTATAAGTTACACTGATTACTCTTTCGTACTATTTTGCCTAACTTTTGTGCAAGATTGTACTTTTGAATGGTTTATTTGAGAATTTGTGAAGGTTTTGTTTACCATCACAACCAGCTTTTATAAAAAGAAAAGAAATTAAATCAGAGGATTCAGGGTTCCTTAATGAAATATGTAACAACTTTGGTCAAGTTAAAATCCATCCCATTCTCTATTATTGCCCACTAAGAATAGTTCCTTTATTATCCATAACATACTTGCATCTGGTATATACTGTAGCATACTCTTTCAAAAAAAAAAAAAAAACTCTTAAAGCTAATAGCAGAAATGTTTACATTTTCAAGCTTATTAGAGTGTTAAAGATACTAGATATCTAAAGACACATTAGCACATGTCTTGATATTTATTATCATAAAGTAATATACACACCCAGAATATCCAGGGCTAAACTTGGCAAAGCTCAAGATGCCTTAATCCTCACTTCTGATCACTTAACATCATTAAATTGTGGAACAGGTATCTTGTTAGTATAACATAAGCAAATATACTGTCACTATTAATATAACTAGAATTCAATAAGTAAAATTATGGAGTCCTAATAGCAGTTAACATGGCACAGTTAATGGTGTGTCACTTTCCTTATAGCACCCAGAACTTTATGTTTTTGTTTTTTAATTAGTCTTTTTAAGTTCTTGAAGTACATGGTTTCTCTTATGCTACTAAGCTCTTAAAGTAAGCAAGTATTCTGTAGAAAATAATATTAATATGCCAGAAGCTGGTCAGCTTTAATTTCTTGTTCACCAAAAAGTTGTTTTGAAGGAAAATGTCAAGAAGCTGTGGTTCTCTTTTTCAAAGTGTTAAGTAATTGTGCAGCTCACCAGCAAGGGAGAGGATCATTTTTTGGAAATTGTATTCCTTCACATTTGAAGCAGATCTTAATCCTTAGAAATCTCCCCTAGAAGAGGGCAGAACATGCTATGGTGCTAGTTTTGTCTTAGGTTCTTAATTGCTTTTTTAAAAGGAGAATTGATCTGCCACTTACACATAAAGTATACCAACTAAGTAAAATAAGACATCTCCTGGGTGGAACACACACACACCAAGTACATGAACAGGTCTTACCTCAAAGACTGAAAGTTTTCTGCATTTGTGTAGATTGGTCAGAAGACTACCTGGTATGAAAATGAACCTAGCAATGGATGTCATGAAAAAAATGAAAATAGAGCCAAAGGTTTTTTTAGCTATTCCCATCTGTATCCATGCCACAAAATTGTATTTACTAAGGATTCGAATTCAGTCATTAATCATAGTGGTGGGGAGGGGGAATGAAATGGCTACATTTCTTTTTTCATAGGAAATGCTTTAGTTACCTCTAATGCTTTAGATACCTTTTATAAATCCATTTTTATTGTCACACTTCAGTGGCAGATTGTTACAAATCATTTATTCAGCTGAATATCATAATGTTAGAACCACATTTCTTTTTGTACTTGTTTAGTTCAGCTTGGTGGTAGAAGCTCATTTATTTTGTTGTTATAAAACTTGAGGAAATAACAACCATAACTTTCAAGTTATGCTTGTTTTCTTATTCCTTTGCCTATATATTTACAGGGAAGCATTCTCAGCATTGAGTGTCAGTTGATTACTGTTAACTTATTAAGCAATAATCTAGAAGTCTAAATAGTAATGCCTTTTTTGGACATGAAATATGTTTCGAACAAGTCATTTTGGCAATCATGTGGCAGATTGTCCAGTTACACATATAGAGGCAGTGTGGCGTAGTGGATAGCAGGCCGACTTTGGAATCAGGAAGACCTGTGTTCAAGTTCTGTCTCTGGCACATAGCTAGTTATGTGACCTTGGACAAATCACTTAACTTTTAGTGTCTCAGGCATTTCTCTAAAACTTGAAGTTACAGATAAATTAATTGCCCGGTTTCATCAGTGGACAGAATTTACATATTGGGAAATCTCTATACAGATGAATATACGGGTCTTGGACTAGCTTTCTAATTCCCTATCAAAAAAAGACAAAAACTTGACAAAATACAGTTGAAATTACTGGAGTACTGAATTTAGTTTCAAATTCCTTACATTACTACATAAGTCCAATGTTAATAAATTTTTTAACGAAAAATATATTAGGAACAGCTTCGTTAGCATGAAGCAGAACATTAAATAAATCAGAAGGCACATTGGTAGGTAGGGAGATTTGAAGGTAAGGCTGTCCATAAAGACAGCTAATATGTAGCCATATGTATTTTCCTCCCTGTTTATATTAATTTCTTTTTTGTAAAACTTTTCTTTCTAAATATCAGTACTAGTAAATTTGTTGAAGTTTAGTTCCGTGTGCACTTGGGTTCTTTTAACTAAAACTTTGCTATTTTGGATCCCTGATCATCCTTTTGACTGAGCCACTCTTTGTGGAGAAAAAAGAACCAATTTGCTTCACTTGTAATTCCTTTCTGCACAGAAGATAGACGGTCCAACCTAGGTAAGAGGTTTGGAAATAAAAGCTTCAGTGATATACTCTTCTTCCAAATCGTTTTCCAAAAATTAATGAGAAAGATACATATATATATGTATGCATACATGCATTTATATGTGTGTGTGTGTATGTATAAAATTAAGATCGCCATCTAGAACCGTTAGTGGTAACTTAAAACAGTATCTGTCCATGAAAAGAGACCTCACAAATATAAATTCAAAATTTCATAAAACACTGACCAGCCCTCAGATTGGGTATAACAATTAACATTTGTAATGAACAAAAATTAAATCAATTTAAATTCTTTGTAAATATGTGCTAGAAAATAAATTCAGTGTTAATGTTTCCTGCGTGTACAGCTAAGATATTATCATTTGCTGTATTTGCATCACTTAAACCTACTGATAGGTCATTGTTTCACAAAATATTTAGAAGTGGTTATTTTTTGTTCCTTTAAAATTGTCATATGTATTTTGATAAATGAGCAAATATTTGAGGATACATATTGCTGGATTTTTGCCACATTTGTTTTCATCCTTTTAAATGGCGAATATTAAATAGGCTATTTGGACAATATGCTGACATCGCCTTACTGAAATTTCTTTGTGGAACATAAAAAGTTATCACAGTATAGTCTCTACTGGGCTTTAAGCAGGATCATGTATTTGTTTTGTTCACCTTTGTTATCCAGACTGTTACTGAATATGTAGATTACTCATTACACATCTAATTGGTTCTCTATATTCTGTCCTTTGCAAGTCACTTTATAAGTTATACATTTTTTGTGTTCTAAAACATGGTTCTTACAGTCTTTCATATTTTTTTGTTTGAAGCATATGTAAATATTCCACCACACAGTTCAGATGTGGATTTATTCTTTTTATCCTAGAAGGGGTTTTAAAATAATTTGTTATACTTAAATGAGTACAAACATCAGAGTAACATTATGGTACATGAAATTAACATCTTCAAAGACAACATGGCATAGGAGTAGACACTTGGTCTCAGAATCAGGAAGACCTGGGTTCAGAAACCATACCTTTAACACATACTGGGCAGTTAACTTCTCAGTGCCCTAAGCAACTCAATTTAAGTTGCAGAACAGTTACTGAAATTTTATTGGCGGAGGAATTTTCTTTACCAAGAGTTCTCTACACTGATGAAATCACAGGTCCAAGGCAAGAAGAAAATAATTTTCACGAGATTATAGACTTAGAACTGGAGAAGACCATAGAAGTCATCTAACCCTTTCAATTTACAGATGAGGAAACTGAGGTCCAGAGACATTAGGTCATTTACCAAAGGTCACAGAGTTATTAACCAGCAACATAGGGAGGCCAGTCCAGGCCCTCTGATCCAGCATTTAATGTTCTCTATCCTACATCATAATGCTCATGTAAAGACCAACATGAACCTTATTTTTTTTTCCAGTCATTAACCACAATTTAAATTCCTTTAAAAAAAAAATTCCCTGACTCAAGTCTTAATTTCTACTGCAGTTTGTTATGTCAAAAACTGCATGAAATAAATAGGCCATCTCCTGGAACTTGGAAGGTTTTTTTTGTTGTTGTTGTTTAAAGGGAGCTTTTTGTTGGAATCATATTTGTTATAGTGGGATTTGCCCTATACTTGAACCAGGGAATGGGATACAGCAGATTGTCAAGGACTAGAATGAATAAATATGACCTGTAGCAACCTTTTTCACATATGTTAGCCTCACTTTGGGGAATAGTCTTAATTGAGGATATAGAGTTCACTTTCTGCTCATACTTTAATGGTCAGTATGATTGACACATGTCCCCATCTTGCATGTCAGTTATAGGTAGGGGGAATATTTTAGGGCCTGCAGATATTATGAGAGACTATTTGAGGTGAATTGGCAGCAAGACTGAATTTTGAAACTGAAGAGAGAACCATTCTGTGCCTACAAAAAGCTCTCTCATTCCCTCCCCAAGAAAACAGGAGTCTGAATTATGGCCAGCTGGGTAGATGAATCTTACTGACTATTCAAGGCAGAGGTAGGCCCTGTAAGTTTCACTCTTGATCTTAAAATCTGTTATACTTTGCTGCAAAAGAGCAAGGTTTTTCTGAAGTTGAAATTCTGATGGGCACAGAGTCTCCAGCCAGCTTTGAAAATAGCATTTTCTGAAGTTTTTAAGTGAATGATGCATTAGCTAAAGTAAGGAACGACATTAAAGATTATGAATTATATATTCTAGCAAAGTATAACATTTAACTTTTTTTTAAAACTAGAGAATTTGTTCTAGTAATAGTTGGTATCTTGTGTTTTGCTGAAGATTGAAGGTTAGGTGAGGCATTCAGGTATGACTTGGTAACAACTGTTAGGTACAGTACCTTTGAAAAAACTCTTTAAAGCTGGATTTTTTTCTTTTATGATTTTTGTTTGAGGTTTTTCCTACTGGCCACACCTCAAGGAGGTCCTTGACACAAGGACCAAGAAGTAAATATATATATTTTCAAATACATAGTTTCAAATACTTTTTCATGCTCAGCTATAGATTCTTTGGGTCAGAATACAAAGGATTGCTTTCATTGTGCTTTTGTGCCTTTTTTGAAGCTCTTTTATACAATCCATTCGTCTTTATCTACTTTCCCCCTTATTTTCTTCTAATATAGTAACTGAATAAATATCCTGAATGTATAATTACCTTATCTTTGGCATTTGTTTTTTTTTTCTTGAACTTGATTTTTATCCCGTACAGTCTAGATAAATGAATACATTTTATGGAAATGCTGCTTTTCTACATATATTTAAAACTATTTTGATTATGTATGCAATTTTGACTTTTGACTCTGAAATATTGTGGAGACAGAGTAGGATGATGGAAAGAGTACTGGACTTGGAGGAAGGAGACCTGACCAAAAGCAGATCACCTAAGCTTTCTGAAGCAGTTTCCACACCTGTAAAGTGGGGATGCTGTTTGTATTGTCTACCTCACAGAGTTAATATAAGTAGACACTATTTTGTCTTTGTCAAAAATACAATGAAAAATGCAGTTAGAAACTATGGGGTTTTTTATGTAGCAAAACAAATGAATTTTTGTGCCATCAAAATGCCTTATGAAGTTTCAAGGAACAATATTGAAAAATGGTACAACTTTATCAGTTGTATTTAAGGTCTCTTGTACAGTTTATATTGAAGGAGGGGTGTTCAAATTTTTGCCAATTATTTTTAATTATTTCCCGAGTTTAGGATTCATTGTTTCCATGATGTGCAGCATTTAACTCAAATCATAGAAAGTTAGAGCTAGATAGAACCCTAGAAATTTATTTAAACCTCGTCTTTCTTCTACATCCCCTAGAAATACTATGCCAAACTTAAAATTTCCTCTCTACTCCAACAGAAATGATACCCAGAAACAGTGCAAAATGGGAGCTACCATGCAACAGATAATAGACCCTGTGACTTCTGAACTACCTTCCAGCCACTGGATCCCCATGTCAACATTGAACTTGAACCAAAGAACAGTTATTTAGGTCTTCTGAGAGGTTGGCTCAGTTGCGGGCCTCAAGTTGTCCAACAGCTCCACTCTGTCCATCACACTCTATATCATACAGGGAATACAAGTGTGGGTTGCATTTTGGGGCAAGAGAAACCCCAGAAAACAAAAAGCACAATGAACAATATTAACTTAGCTTAAAGTGATGAGGTGTTAACCACATTTGTATAAATAACATTTTCTCCAACCTCTGGATCATTACACTGCATTTCTAATGTAATCGGTTCATAAATATCAAAGCGGGAACACCACATTTGTATGGGGTCAGGACCAACTGGAGTTCTCAATGGGGAGACAGCTGAGAGCTGTGTCCCGATGCGTGGGTGGCCTCTGCAGCTGTTGATCCATCCTTGAGCTGCTTGGGGGTTGCCTCTTTGCTCTTGCAGAACCAGGATTTGGCCTTAAGTCAGTTCATCGCCCAGTGTGGAATTGATAAAAGCAATGGATTGACCTCAACTCTCAAAATTGCAGTGAAACAGCCAGACACAGCGGTGACTGAAACATTGTGCAGTGCCAAACACAATCTCAGAATCTTCCCTAAATGATGATGTTTAGTTTTGTACAATATCTGTCCCCTTAATGTGTTGCAAATGTAAAAATGCATCCTCCTAGGACTCGGGGTGAGTGTTTTCTGTGGCGTGTAAGTAGAGACAATCACCACACCAATATTCTCCTTTAAGTAAGAGTGAAATTGATTTCATGTATTTAGTTGTGAAATAAATTATAGGTTCCATATTTACATCTGGCATTGGTAGCAACGTTAGTAATGTTTATTATTTTGTGTCATGTTAGAACAAGATGCTTGTTGTATACATTAGGTTTTCCTAGGAATTTTTGCCATAGGTAATTAAAAATGAAACCTATGTACTTTTCAAATTGTTCCAAAACAGAATGGAGAGTTAAACATTGTATCTTAAGGTTCTCTCCCGTGTGTGTGTTTTCCTCCAGACAAAGTAATTTTTTGAAATCCCACATCGTTACTGAACAGCGCTTACAAGGCTCCTCTTTTGATTTGGTTTTAGGTATTTGTTATTTTAAAATTTTATCTATTTTGTCAAAATAGATGGACTGTTGGATAATAAGAAATTTCTGACAGTGAACAAGAGGCTACTAGGTCAACCTGAAAAGGCAAGTCTGAGGCTTAGAAGGGGAAAAATATATCAGGATTCCTCGATAAGTCATTGAATCAAATAACAAAAAGACAATTTAAAGCTGCTTTTGATTTTTTTCACCTCATCTGTCAGGGAGGCAGCCTCGACCTTTATTTTTGGAACTTCCACATTTAAATTATCCTTTTTCTCACCCTTGATCACTTAAGGGTTGATACAGGAGGTACCAGAATTGACACTAACTTGTAGGTACATTTTGATTTTGTGCTTTGCATAATCAGTTGTAATTAAAATGGGAAAGGCAATTTCATTCTTTTAACAGCTATTTTTTAATCACCTATGTACAAGTACTATGATAAGACCTTAGGGAAATAATTAAGGTAATTAAGACATTGGTCCTTGCTGCTCATGGAGTGGACAATCTATTAAAAGAATATGACCTACACACATACTACACAATGGTACAGTGCAATAGCCATAATGCAGAATATACTGTCATAAAAGTGGGGGAAAGTATAGTGTGCTCTGGAGAATAAGGAAACTATAGAAGTTGTGGTATTTCAGATGAGCCTTGAACGATGAGATTTTGAAACGTGGGGAAAGGAGAGCACTTTAGATTTAGAGAATGGTGTTAGCAAAGAGGGAGACAGGAAAAAAATCTTGCCTTCAGTGTCCTTATCTTTCTTCAAGAATCGGTTTAGGTACTATCCCCTGTGAAACCTTTACTAATTACTCCTCTCACTCCCAGTTAGTACTCTCTCCTCTCCCTTAAGTTACCTCATTTTCTATACATGTACTCCCCAATAACAACTGAAAGAATTGTTTTGGTTTTTACCTTTATATGCCCATAATCTAGGGTAGTGTGTTGAACACAGATGTTTGATAAGCATTTGAATTTAATTGATATATACAAAGATTGGTTTATAATCCAGTCAGACTGAAGCGA